TGACTCCATACAAGAAGTTTCGCAGCTGTTCGGAGGTGACATGAATTCCGAAGGTCTTCTCCAGTCAGGTTGCCGCTGGAGATGACTTCATATTTTGGTGTACATCAAGGTGATGGGCGAGCGCCAGCTCCTGCTTATAGAGGAACATCTTGGGTATCTTCCGCCCCTGGTACTCGTATCCCCGTTCTCTGTCTGGGCTGCGAAAACTTTGCTGATATGTGACTCGGTAGAAATGTCTTTTTTTTTTTGGCCCCCCCTGTATACTCCTCGCCTCCCCCTGTCCCCAAGCTTACGGTCAGGGACGAAGGGCTGGAGGGGGGGGGAGGCGTACCAAACCCCCAAAAAAGAGTTGGGGTTTCGTCAGCGGACTCGACTGAAATCCGCCAACCATGATGGCGCCTGTTTCAAGGCCGTTCGCAATTAAAGAAGTAATCTCGTTCTTTACTCACTCAGGGTGCAAGCCTCGCAAAAGCCACATTCTAGCATCGGTTCAAAATAGGGCTCTATGCCTCGTAGCAGTCGCTACCTCACTGTCAATCAAAGTTGTCTCAAGGCAGTGAAGTCGTAAAAGCAGAATAGCGCTACCATCTCGCTTATGATCCCTTCTACGCTATGGTCGTTTCACGTAAAATGTTGGAGACTTTATTGAATTCATCAATACATAAACAATAACAATCAAGGCACAAGTATATTATACTTACTCCTCATTCGAATAAGGACGAGACCTTCATCGCTAATGAGACACTTCTCCATTTAGCCAATGAAAGCTATAAAGACAAGGAATTGAGCTATCTTTCTCGGGCATACCATGCCCGAATAGGACCTGTTCCTCAACCCCTAGAATAGCCGCCAACGCTTGTAGGGTCCCTCATTGAACGGGCAGAAGCTGCGCAGCAAGGAACAGAAGAACAGATTCCCGAAAATATTCGAAATAACAATAATTGCAAGCACCAGCGAGATTCTCAGTGAAGAACGTATGTACTAGTAATGACAATGAGAAAGTATTCGGAACAAGTCAATGTTACTTCAGTCTTTTCAGAGAGAAATACGAAGCAAATTAACTTATAAAAGGCTTTTGTTGTGTTGTGTGGATCCAGCTGAGCGATAGGATATGGGATAGTCTGGTGCCGGAATCATGATGCTCTGAATCCTCCTTAACAAACGTCAATTGGATCAACATATTACAAAAATGCAAATTAGCTGATAATGAACTGATATATGATTAGTGATACGGGGTAATGTCATGAAGAAGTGAAGCGATACTTTTCTGTCAGACGCCATGGATAAACGAAAAACTCGTTAGTTAAAGACGAAAGAAGCTTGAACTGAATGCACAAAAGATGTCTAAGAAGCTTAATCCTTACTTTGTTGCAACCTACCCTTCGGTAGATTCGTTGGCAGCATGGTTCGACTGAAAAGTCTATCCATCACAACTCGTTATTTAGCCTCCAATGAGGAATGAACTTTTGGAGTGGGCAGCAGATGCAAAGTTCTCATTGAAAGGGAACAAACAGGACCACGGATTTCAGCAGCGTCTACACACCAAAGAGGGGTCGGAACCGCTAGAGGAAAGGATACGTAATGGAGAGCAGGATGGAATATTTTAGTGGAGATTGAGTAGAGAGAAAAAGGCATCATCACAATAATGGAGGCTAATTACAGCTGTAGAAAAAGGCGGTCCTTCCCATTCGCGGGGTGAACGGGTTCGCAACTGCAGTGGCGTGCCACTTGCTTGGCTTGTAGTGCACGGAAGCTGGGCTGGAGAGTAGTGACACGTAGTTCCGGCTCCATACTCCGCCCGCGCTATCTCAAGGTGCAGCACTTGCGCAGATACCGCAGCGAGTAGTATGACCCGGCCCCGGGGTATCACTACCCTTGGCTCATTCCCGTGCACTTTTGAGCGGAGAAAGTGGCACACTACTGCAGCTGCGGACCCGTTCACCGCGCACATGACAAGGGCCAGGATACACGGGGTGAGTGCACAGCTCAGAAATCCTCCCGAATGCTCGAAACTTCTAATTGAAATGATTTCAACGTCAAACTGGTTGGTGAGTTTGACTTGTATGTTTTTGTAATGAGGACTCACTTCGTAACAGGATCAATTCGACCGGGAACGTTGAGTGCGTACATGTTCTCCTCAATGCTGAAGTCTCCTTCGTAAGCAACGCTGAAACAAATAAAATTTGATAAAACCATTGGGGCATAAGTTAGAAAAACAGTCATGTGCGGGCGGAAAAGCTGGAGAAGTCGCAGTCGCGCAGGACTTCACAGACCTCGCTTCTAGTGGACCCGCCTTAGATCGCCTGCTTAGGGACCTGAGGCCTGGGATTATACGATGGCTTATATGCCTATCCGCGTTATCTTGCTCATTGTCAGTAGCTTTAAGGCCTCTTATGGTCAGGCCAACAGGGAGGGTTCCACATGAAGTGCACACAGAAATCAAATATATCCGATGCCCACCTTCCTTGCCTTCCATAATTACCGTAGCCATTTCCTAGGCGGCCACCTCCCAACGAGTTTGCTCTTCAATGTCATATCCTCGTCAGAAATCGGCATCTCCAGTATCTGTAACATTAACATCCACATGGATACAGGGAATTAATATCACCATTCAAAAGGTAGAAAAATAGAAGCGAAATGAAGGTCCAAGAGCTCAGATAGAAAAATAATAATAATATTAGGCGTTGTCAACAGAACGCTCATGTGGTACAAGGCGCAAAACGACTTGAAAATCTTGAAAGAACCCCACAAATGCCTTTTCATTTCAGGTCTGTAAAGGAAAATTAAGCCTCAAAACACTCTTGGTCCTTAAATTTTGAACCTGATTGCGATAAATCCCATATACACATTGCAATTATTCATACAGAGATACCCTTGCCGTAGTTGATGAGAGAATTTGGCAATGATTTGTGAACCAGAAAAGTTAATAATTGGGCCGCGCGTGACTGGGGCTAAGCCTCCCATCCTGGCATTTCTTTCATATTCGTTGCGAATTTTCAGAAAATAGGTCGCTAAAAACGGATCATTTGCGCAGTGTAGCCCGTTTGCACAAAAAACTTGGGCCGAACCGGGATTCGAACCCGGGACCTCTCGCACCCGAAGCGAGAATCATACCCCTAGACCATCCGGCCACAATCGTTCACGTCTCATGCGAGAACTTCAATTTGAACTTTTTTTCTTTGTGTTTGAGGTATCGCGATATTGAAAGATATCTGAGGCACAATTGAGCCTGATAAAACCCACTGTTGGAAGGGGGGAGTATGAGGAGAGAGGAGAAAACCTTACAAAGTCTGCGAGTTGGTCAGAAAACAACAATAGAAACGAAATCGGCGTTGGACGAGTGTAATGGAATACGGACATACATAAAAAAGCAGAAGAGGGGGTATGTAGGAAAACCAGCCAATTTCGTTTCCGATGGTAACCTGCTTGAACGACACGAAAGGAATCATAGGAGTTCCAAACGGGAAACTACAGGCTTTCTTTTTCCTTCTCCACTGACTCTTATGCTTAAGCCCATAAAGTTGTGTGCAAATGAACAGTGGATTGTGAGCCATTCTCCAAAGGAAGTATAGAGCCATAGCCCAGTTGGGTTGTCCAGTTGGAGCTAATGATTGAGTTTAGTCGCTTTTTCTAACCAAATGCCGATGTTCCTGACGCCATACTGGCTGGATTATACATTTGCAAAGCCCCACTGGATGCAGTAGAAGTAACCGTTTGGATATGTTGTGTGGAGGTGAGATGACAGCCTCTTTCATCACTGAGCACCAGCTTTGCAGGAGTTTTTTCAGTTCTCGCTTCCCGCAGTTGTAGGGCCACTGCCGAGGCTAAGTGTGCGTTACCGACCTAACGGCCGAATCTCAACATTCTCAACCATTCGCTCATAAACTATGTAGTAAGTTTAAGTAACGAGCTCAGATCAGCAAAAGCTAAATATTCAGAATGGAGATACCATTTCTGACGATGCCAGCGCTCGCTTACCTGAGTCTCATAGATCTTGTCAAGTCGGGGATCATTCGGAGCGTTTGGAAGGTAGACGGTGCCTAATTTTTGTGGATAACCATGAGGATTGAACGAATGCACGCTGTGCTGAGAAATCTGAGAGAAATTTATTTCACCGGTGGTTAGCATGAGATTTCTATCATAAGGAGGTTAATGTCGAAAATACCTTGAAACGGCTCCAAAACACACAAATTGCGCAGATACCCACAACAGCGCCGATCGCTATCAAAACCGCTAGGCCGACCAACACTGGAAAAAATAGCATTACTGAACAAAAACAAGAAAAACTTTAACAAACGACCTTTTAGCACAGGTCACTGCGCGCTAGGGTTTCCTAAGCAAGGAGGCAGAGTCGCACTTTTTTTGCTATAAAGGTGTGGGTAGTATCTGGCTTGTTGTTAAGAAGAATCTGCTCCCTCTCAATCCTGATGAAATTTATGTTGGTTAGTTGAGGTTAGTGCAAGGGGAGTTGGTGGTGGGGATCGTATGCGAGCTAGCGGTGAAGGGAGAGCGGACTGTAGAGGGACTTTGCCTCAGGTTCACAGAATCCTTAGCAGTTGAATGAGCAATACTGCCATTATACCTGCAAAAATGGAGTGCAAGAAGAGCAAAAATGGGGGAGGGCGCTGTGCATCGACGGGGGGGGGCATTTTGTATTATAATTGCTTCCCTGGTTCCGGTTTACAAATCTCACTCTGGTAAAACTTGTGAACGCTTGTGAAGCTGGAGCAAGATCGTCTAGCCACCATCCTAAAACGTGTCAACTCGAAAAAAGGGTACCTAGATGGGTTGGCAAATCTATGAAAAGCAGAATGCCCCCCCCGTCGATAAACAGCGCCAGGGGGGGGGGTGATTGGGGCGCCTTTCCCACCAAATGGTGCCGTCCTGAGCCGTGGAGCTTTCGTGGGAAAGGTTGTCGTGGCTGCGCTCCAATCTTTGCCCCTTCCTGCGCCCGGGGATGCTGTTCATCATTTGAGGAACACAGAGTACATACACATGCTGGCTGTTTTCCAGTTGCTGGGTAGCATTCCTGTAGCCCCGACGCTGTCTTCATCGACATCTTCGACATCTTCTCCAGACGGAACCATGGCTGTACCTTTCCTGCCACCATCGCAACTGATGAACTTTCAAAGAGCTTCCTGAAGTGAACAACCTTTCTACTATGGACCCACAGAAGCCTTCTAACAAATCGAGCCTTACGCCAAGGCTCTCTACTGCAGCAGCTGCTCGACATACCTGAATTCTGGTTTCTTGCAGATTTTCCTTGTACTTGGATTCACCGCATACCAGTAGATGTCAGTTCGTATCTGAAAGAAATTCACCGTCATTCATGGAAAAGCCGAAATTTCTCAGTGGTTCTAGTGAAGGCACATTCCACGTTCGGCCGTATTGAGAGGGATTGGGTTAGCTCGGCCGCCCTTTTCTATCGTTTTTAGAAGGCAGGACCCGCGTCAATAAAACGCCTGAGGCCTGACTCCACCCACAAGCGCGAGGCGTGGAGTCGCTGCTACATGAGTAAGTAGTACAAGGCAAAGGCGATTTTGCACACGAGTGCGGAAACAACTTAAAGCGAAGTGGCTTCAGAAGATTCAATGATAATACCTGGTTATCAGTCGACGGTTGTTCAGCCATGCTCTCGATACTTAGTAGAGTGCAGCTGCTAGTGAATTGTCGTACAGTCTTTATCATGTCCTGAAAAGTGGGAAGTTTTCAGACTGAACAATTTCTCGGACGCGTAAAACATTTCGACCAAAAGAGGTTTCTACAGTCTTTTTCGCTGTGCGTACTGCAGCATGTCAAGGGTGGGGCTGGGCTGGCGCTGCGCCAGTTCGTAAGCCCACCTATTGTGGTCGCTTGCCATCTTCCAAAATTGGCAGAGAATGGGCTGGTGCCGCCAAAAACTCACCTTCTGCCCCCGACACGCCCAGCGTCCGTAGCGAACAAGGCCCGATATGGGCTACTCTTTTGTGACAGATCTACTCAAAGTGGCGTTCTACTCAATTACAGGGAGGAAAACAGCCAACCAAAATGAGTTCTTCACTGGTGCCCACTCCATCCTAAAACGGTAACGAAGAAGGAGAAGCCAATGAAGGAGGCACAGTGTTTGGATGTCTCCGCCCTATGATCAGCGTGGACTGTGACTTTGAGCCAACACTACAGCTTTAAACGATGAAAAGAGAGGTCAATAACTCGACGAACTTTTTCATGAGCTCTGAGTTGTTGAGGATTCAAGCCGCTGGTGATCATTCGGAAGCGATGGGCTTCGGTGATGACATTGATGACGACGTCAGCTTTGGAACACAGCTGTTGGCCAGCAATCGGTGAATCACATGCGGAAACCTGAACAATTGAAACCTAACAACGAAGAAAACGTTTCTCACTCTTTTCTTCGCATTTTGAACACATGGTTTTGATAGCGCTTAACTCCTTGGAAACATCCACTAGTTTGGTAACATTAACTTAAGGAAACTGAAGCCTTTGGTCGAGCCTGTTTCATCCATTTCTATCCATTTTAGGCTCTAGCAAAGGCGAAGATCACAAAAAACAGCAATCGTTGTAAACGGTTGATAATGTACTACAGCGAAGCATGCCCTTTTGTTAATGGAGTGCAGTCATATCCCTATCACCCCGAACGTCAGCACACTTTTCAGTTCAGGCCTAAGATGAAACCAGCGGAGCCAAGCAATAGAGGCAGTCGTATGTACAAGGGTAACATTTTTGCTACTTGAGAGCGCGAAGAACAGTTAGGTAGCGTTCATACTTTGCGACAGCACTGGCGATCGCCGCGATCGTCGTACGCGTCAGAGCGCGCCCCAACGCTATTACTTGGACCGCTCGCTTTGATAAATAAGGAAATCCAACTTGTAATACCTTTTTTCTCTTAGTAATGGCTACTAGCTGGAAACAGGACTTTTTCCACCTAAGAGGACCTGGAGTATAAGGAAGGAGGGGGTTTTACCTTTTATTTAGGCCGGGATAAGTGCAACTTCATTTGAATAGGTGAGCTTCTCTTTGTTTCTTTTGTTTTCATTGTTTCAATTTATATAAGTCTGTTGAAAATTTCCTATTATCTGAACTGTTGAACTTCTAAAAATTTATAGTTTACAAGTCGAGTTCAAACAACGAAAAAAGGAAATCGAAAGGAACTCACCTAGGAATCGAAACACTAATTTTTTTATGCAACATCGAGGAGGAGGAAACTTCATAAGTTCATGTATAAGCTCGAAGAATGAAAAAAAATAAGAAACTTACCCTAAATGAAGCCCCTTGCTTTTTGCTCATTTCTATCCTGAATCAAAAAAGAAAATAGAAAAGAAAAGCCATTAAGTTTTATCCACCTTTCCTCGAGTCAAAACAAGCTTTGGTACCTGAGTCAGGCAATTAAAAGAAAAAAAGCAGGAAATTAAGCCAATTCCTCCTAATAGCACTCGGAGCGGTCCAAGTAATAGCGTTGGGGCGCGCTCTGACGCGTACCGACGATCGCGCGATCGCCACTGCTGTCGCGAAGTATGAACGCTGCTTTAGAGCGTAGACAAGCAGCGAGACTAGCTCTTGGTAGTCGTGTAATTGACCGTGCTGCGGCGTGGGCGAAGTCTCGAATAGTGGCCACTCCCAAGCAGTTCTGGGCGGAGAAAGTGACACGTTAGCATAGCTACGGATGCATTCACCTCCCTCATGGCAACCAGAATCCGTGGGTGGGTGTAGAGAACGATTTAAAGCTCTTCAAAGCTTCTGATTGCCTCCACTTATGGAGTTGATCACTTTCGTTTATTACGTTGAAAATAATTAAATGAACTTACCCGCAGCTCGAAATAGCTGATGCGGCTCTTCTGCAGCAGCTGTGTCATACTTTGTTTGGTGCTGATCTCTCCAGTCGGACTTACGGTGAAATATTTTGAATGCAACGACAACGGATCGAGAGCGTACAAAACCACACTGCTGTTCCCAAGATCCGAGTCTTCGGCCTAAACAGAACTCTATCTATAAGCTTTACTTTACTTTAGATTTACTTTGTTTCAACAGCAACTGTGCTTTTTTTATCAATGCGTTCCTTTTCGCGAGCTTTCAAACATGAGTGCATTGAAGGAATGCACAATGGTTCTCTAGGTTCTTCCAAGCAATCAGCTTGGACTGGGTTCTTATTTGAAAACAGTGCACCAAATTTGGGCATGGTCTCTATTGAGAAGAGAAAATGCGAGTAAAGGTCGAGGAACTATTTACCTTGACAGTCAACACTCTAGTGAACGCTGGGGCAGTCGACGAGACACCAGCGAAATACGTTGTGAGACCGAGGTCATTGTCGTAGATGAATCGTGGCACATTGTCGTTCACATCGAGTACGGTAACGGAAACCAATGCGAAATCAGTCTCACTGCCGGCGGTTACGGTAACGTTGAGTAGATAGCTAAACGTGGATTCTTAGACGTTGCAGATCTTCAGGGAAAAACATTTAAGAGGAAAGGGTTTGAGTCAGCTCAGTTTAGAGAAGAAAGACAGTCTTTGTAAGTAGGACATTCCGGAAAAAGTCCCTGTTTCTGAGGGATTTGGTCAGGGTTCCACCTCTCACTCAGCGTTTTTTAGACCGCTTTGACTAGAAGATGATCGCATTTCAGACGTTTTCTCAACACTCGAAAAGCCTGACGCGTCTAACTGCGATGGTGTTATCTAAGGCAGTAAGACCAGAAAAGAGTCATGTAAGCTTGCCCGTTCAAGACCAGAATGACAGGCTGATTGTAGGCTGATTCATTTTCAGGAAAAACAAAATCCTACGTACCGTTCCACACTTTCTCTGTCCAGTTCCATTTGTGTCCTCAATTCACAGTTGCCGTCGTTGCCAGCAGTGACGCTGAAGGCCCCTGCAATGAAGTAGCGAGTTAGCCAGACTTACTTTGAAGTGATGCAAATACAGAAATTCTTCCTTGTGAGCAAACGAACGAGAGGAAACTCATACCGCGGTAGTTTCCGCTGACGATGTTGCACGAAATAAATCTCGTGTCTGCTGGTTTGTTGTTCACTGACAACACTTGCACGAGATACGGCGGACGAACTGATTCCGAAACAGAAGCGCTGGAAAAACATGGTAGGAATCGAGATTCGTAATGGAAATATTCCCTTGAGAAAACTGTGCAGGGAAAAATGGTTTGTTCAGTTGAGCAGGGGTAGAAATGGGGCATGCCCGGCATGATGATGAACGGAAAAGGAGTGTATCTAAGCCAAGCTACCTACAACTGCACTTTGCACTATCTAGCAGAGCGTTTTGTAACTAGTTGATTTGATACAAGATTAACAGATTGGATCCTGTTGTGAACGCTGCACACATGACTCCTGTCAAGCAATTCCGCTATGCCTTTTTATCGTCGTGACTCGGAACTAACATACCACCTCTATTTGCACATATTAACACCCAAAAGGAAAATAGAGAAGGGGTACGAAAATAGAGAAGGGGTACTGCAACAAGAACAGTCAGAAAGTGAATTATTTGGGAACTCACGTGTAGTTTCTCAGGCCGAACTGTAACTTTCCTTCGGATGGCAAGCTTGAAAACGGTGTGCCGTTTGGAATCACCTTAAAATAAATTTAAGAGGGAAGCATGACAAGAAAGCTCCAGTTTGACCTCCACATGATGAACTGCTCTTCATTTCTATTCGTATCTCTCGCATAATTTTATAAAGTACATTTGAAGACTATGTTTACAGGAAGTAGGCACGACTGTTGGAGGCGCACGGTCGATGCCAACGTCACTGGTGAAGGGCGTTTAGCCACACTCCCACGAAGCGTTTAGCGAAATCGTTCAAGCTAACGCCCTCATTCAGCTGTCCCACCACTAACGCTGGTGACCACCGCCCGCCCCCGGCAGCCGTGCCCTTTGCCTTTGAGACCAGCTCGAAAAAAAATTGCACGATGTTCGAATGCTTGAATGAACCTCAAAATGGAAGCCTGTGGTAGAATGTTTAGCACTGGATGACTCAAAATACCATGGGACATGTCCTAAGCAATTTCTATGGCAGGGCACATCGTTGTTGGGGAATCCCCAATAGGGGGTCGTATTTGGTCGCCAGGAGGGGGTCGTATTTGGGCTGAGAAAAATTTATTTTGATAGTTGATTTTTCTCGCTTCATGGACGTTGTAAAGGGAGGGGGGTCGTATTTGATCATTTTTGGGAGA